ACGACACCACGTGGCTTCATCGTCATCGTCAAATCAACTGTAAGAAATCTAATGCCGAACATAAGCCTCCTCCAATGACAGCACCATAATAAGTCTTTACGGCCATGAGTTTATTCAGAAAAAAAATATTTTCTTTAATGGAATAGGGGGCAAACGCAGACGGATCACCTGATGGTAAGCGATCAGCGTCGCCCATAGACACCCACAACACCAGAGGAGTCATAAATACGTGCTGGCCTTTTAAAAAGGAATATGCTCTTTCTTGAAGGTTTGAAGATCCTTGAATGGATAGGCAGAGGTGCACATTACGGCACTGGCACTCGATGCCATTGTACAATGTAACCCACTTTACACTATTTATGTTATGAGTCCCAAAATATTATTAGTAGAGACGAAAAGAAATAATTTCAACGTCTCTAAGTTCTTTTCCACATATGTCCTTTAACATCAATGTGTACTAGATGGCAGGTTTATTAACATTAAAATGAAAAAAACCGAAATATAACCATATCCCTATATTTTGTTCGACTAGATAACGAGAATCCTTATTTAGAGTCTTATTTGCGATCACACAGCAAGTAATTGATTAAAAACAATTAAATTAATTCTTAATGATTACCACGAAACAACTCAATTATGATTAAAATACGCTTTGCAGCAAAATAAACACTGAATTTGGTAACAGCGCCATCTATTGAAAATTTTCTCAAACTACCAAAGTACGTGTCTACCGAGGGTTGAGTTTTTCACCGCGGTGAAATAGGTAAGCTAGCTTTTCACGTAGTACGAGACGTGGCTAAGAGATGGCGCTACTAAATACTGAAAATTTTCTAAATCATGCTGAGAGAAGTTTTGAAATTTTTTACGTTGACCATGTAGGTAAAACGGTAATCTAATAAAAAACTAGTAATAAATGTAAACATAATTAATGACTGCCTCTTTGGCCGAGTGGTCGCAAGTGCGACTGCCGGACAAAGGGTTTCGGGTTTGATTCCCGAGTTGGGCAAAGTATTCCTAAGGTTTTTAGAAAAAAACCTCAGTAGTAGCACGGAGTCTGGAATTGTGCCCGGTATATGGAAATAGGCTCACCCCCTATTACATGGGACTCATAACATTAATAGTGAAAAGTGGGTGCTACCTACAGTGGCATTAAGTGCCGTAATGTGTACCTCTGCCTCCTTTGGGGATAAAAGGCGTGAAGTTGTGTATATGTGTGTATAATTAATCACTTTGGAACAGTATGTAATTAATAGAAAACGTTTTTGACATTTCGGAAACTATATTTTTTTAACTAGAGGAATCTAATACCTTTAAACGAACAATTCTTGTACATCTTAATTATACTATTAACTACCTCTATATAAAGCGGAAGAGTTTGTTTATTTGAACGCGCTAATCTCCGTAACTACAAGTCTGATTTGAATAATTATTTTTGTGTTGGATAGCGCATTTATCGAGGATGGCTTTAGGCTATAAAACATCACGCTACGACCATGAGGAGCTGAGCAGAGCGTGTGAAACCGCGCGGAAGTAGCTAATATATTATATCAACGATAATGGATACAACTCCAAAGCATTTCTTAAAAAATAAAATGCTTTTCTTAAAATTTTCAGGGGGTTTCGGGACCGATATATAATAATAAAATTCGGAAGTATCCCATGATAATCTATTGATATTATTAAGTGTGGGAGAGCCATGCTTCGGCACGAATGGGCCGGCTCGACCGGAGTGATACCACGGCCTCACAGAAAACAGACGTGAAGCAACGCTTGCGTTGGGTTTCGTCGTGTAAGTGAGGTTACCGGAGGCTGAATTATCCCCCTCCCTAGTCTCCGTCTCCCGAATCCCCGAATCCTCCACAATCCTCAAACTCCTAATTCCCAAAAGGCCGGTAACGCACTTGTAACGCCTTGGTGTTTCGAGTGTCCATAGGCGGCGCCGATTGGTTACCATCAGGTGATTCGTTTGCTCGTTTACCGGCTTATGCTATAAAAAAAATTCAGAAAATGCTGTCAAAAATCGTCATAACTTAATCGGTTAGGAGAACATTGTGAACTAGTTATGATCAACATACATATTACATAGTAAGCACCTGCTGTATTTCGTAACCAACAATCGTAACAATACGGATTTTAGTAGGAACTATAATTTACAGGCCAGTGGTTGTCAAAGAACTTGGCCGCTAGCGATTAAACGATTTTTAACATGGACCAGTGGACTTGTACCAGGATTTTCCATTTCAACATGGGATTATAGAAGCATCTACTTCTACAATCAAATCGTTCGATAACACTAGTCGATAAGTATTTTGTAACAATTAAAACTACCATCTTTTTGAATAGAACTAAGCAAGATAACCTCATTTTTCAAAGAAAGTACATGTCTATCACATCTAGATTTTGTGTAATCTACTGTAAAATTCTTGAAATTATATAATTATATGCTTATTCCGTGACATTGTATAAAAAACGTTTGTATTTAAAAAATATATATAAGTACAATAATATAGTACAAATCTTATTCTCTCCAAATCATTTGGAAATGATTCTCTAGATTATACCATCACTGAGTTATGGCAGTTGGAAATTTGGACAGAATTATGCATAGAACAATTTTTTAATATCGGTTGCACGAAAAAATTAGCAGAAATAAACTGCCATATATCTCAGCTATGGTGAATGTTAAAGTATCAACTCAAAGTGTAAAGAAATGATCAAACTTGTAACTTTTGAATTAATTTGTTAAAAATATAGTAAATGGAATAGTTAATTTTATGTAAAGCAATAAAATACGTTATAATAATCAAATTGGTAACTTTGTTAACAGATAACATAAAATCTAGACACCACGTCTAGATTTTATGTTAGATATAGATATAGACTTTCTTCAAAGTTAGTACTCACCATGCATAATTCTATGAAAAAAATGCACAATGCATTTTTTTCATATTACATAATTCTATGAAAAAAATGCACAATGCATTTTTTTCATAGAATTATGCATTCAGCTGTAACTTTGAAAATATTTATTTTTGTAGACCACTGTAATGGCTAATATTCGGTTTAATTATAGCGGAAGTCCATGGGCGGCGTCGATTGCTTACCATTAGGTGATCCGTCCGACTTATTCGATAAAAAAGCATGGGAAATATTGAAAATCACCATCTCAAAAGGTTCGTCGGAACTTACGATACTCGTGGAACGAAAACCGGAGGTGAGTATTGAATACTAATCTGATTTTTTTATGGGATAAGCCGGTAAACGAGCATACGGATCAGCGGATCGATGGTAAACATTAAGCAATCGGCGCCGCCCATGGACACCCGGAACACCAGAGGCGTTAAAATTTCTTTAACGGCCTTTGGGGATTAGGAGTTTGAGGATTGTTGGGGATTCAGGGATTGGGGAAGGAGGCGGGTAATGGCGCCTTCAGTAACCTCACTCATGCCATGAACCACAACGCATGTTGTGCTGAAGCATGGCTCTCCCACACTTAAGTCATATCATTTTTTTTATGGAATAGATAAGACAAACGAGCAGACGGATCACCTGATGGTAAGCGATCATCGCCGCCCATGGACACCCGCAACACCAGAGGAGCCACAGGTGCGTTGCCGGCGTTTTAAAAAGGAATACGCTATTTTCTTAAAGGCTTTACGATTGAGAAACGTTGTCATAAAGCACTGTTTTCTTGTTCAGATAAGAAATGTCGATACTGAATAGTACTTTAGTTTGTAATCAACTTTATAACACGACGGAAACTAGGAAACGTACGCTCTATAGGATATACCGATAGAAAATTAGCAGCAATTTAGCAAGTGACAAAAATTGCGAAATATACCTTTCTTTTTGAAAGAAAAAGGAAAGAAAGAGAGGAAGAATAAGAGTAAGACAGTTTATTTGCACGAAGTATGGTAATTACAGGTAATAATAATTATAAAAAAATAGTCCCACATACATACATCGCCTACTGTTTTCGGCATGCAAAGTTAAGTTTTACAATATAATAAAGTTAAAATCTTACATTCAATAAAATCAATTACAAAAATGCTTACAACTAGGATAACATAATTATTTCTCCTAACATATTATTATAGAAGATAGAGATAGAGAGTGGGAAACAAGGACACGCCTATTTTGGAACCGTGGTGAATTTTTTTTTAAAAAAACGTTTTAGTCGTACACACGGCCACACATCAATGTATACAGAACCAGTTTATCCTGGTGTCGCGTCGCATCATCTTTCCGCACATTTAACGTTCAGTTTATACTGGTTATGTAAAGCTCGATGTGAAGCCGTGTGTACATACGTAATACGAAATTGTTGTTTTGGTAAAATTCGTTGATTGCATGTGAGTTGTGTTTAGTATTAACTAGTTGTTGCTTGCGACTTCGTCCGCTTAGAATATGATACCTGTTTTATCCCATGGGAGCATTTAATCGAGATAAAAAGTCCTATCACCTAAGTCAGCCCATACCCTGTCTGTATACCAAATTCCATTGAAATCTGTTCAGTTGTTTCAGTGTGATTGACGGACAAACATACAATCAAAGAAAATTCAATATTTATAATATAAGTGTGAGACTTTTATGAAATTCACATATATTATATATAGCACGGAGTCTGGAATTGTGCCCGGTATATGGCAATACACCACCCCCTATTACATGGGACTCAACATAAAATAGTGAAAAGTGGGAGTTACATTGTACAGTGGCATTAAATACCGTAATGTGCACCTCTACTTCGGGGATAAAAAGCGTGTTGTTATGTATGTGTTATGTTATATTATATAGGTACTGTCATCATGCTTCTCTTCCATTAGGGTAAGCAGAGCCAAATGACAATTGTGACACATAGATCAAAACCATTCATCTATTTGGTAGACGCCAAAAATCATTAAGTCAAACTAAAAATCCTTACATTTCAGTACACAAAATCGAAAGCAACACACGAAACGAATGATGCAATAAAACCATTTAGACAGAACTTTAAAACAATGTGGCATATACTATGGATACCAGTTCTAGTGCCAACTTTAATAATAAGATCTAACTGTGATAACAATCGAACACATTCTGATGTATACATTCAATATTCCGGCCACGCCGAAGCCGATGAAGCTGATCTACCAGAAACCATACCGTATACAACGAAAAAAACAACTACAACCGCAGCGCCCACAACGAAAACCTCAACTACAGTTAATATAACCGTTTTATCTGTAACAACTCCTAACACAACGATTGTAACAACGCCTAAAACTCCAGCTCCGACAACAGAAACAACTACAACTACAACGACAACGATAAAACCAGTTACAACAACTACAGTTGAAATGAGTGAGGAACAGACGGATGCTGTTATCTTTTTACCTGATGTAAGGACTGGGAGACGAGATGACGGATATATAGATGGTATGCATATCAAAGATTTGCTGATGAAGCCGCTGCCCGAAGTAATGAACAATAAGTTCCACGAGGAGAAGTTGTTAGGTACGTATCGCTTATACCGGAATGATCGTTATTGCCTGCTTTAAACGGGCGTATTGTCACGAGCGTCACTCATCTGACTAAAAACCACCCCGTTCCTTCTACTGTACATCGAGCCTGAGCCTCGGTAACCCGTTAGGTTCTCCGCCACTCCAAATCGGTATCGGCCCTGTTGGGCCCCATCTGTGGTGGTCTGATGGCGCGGGCGGAACGCGACGCGTCGTACTCTCGGGGCTGTTTCTGGTCGGACGGGGAGCCACCCATGCTCGCCGTCCGCAGACCCGTGCTTACGGTGGCCGGAGATCGTACCGCGATACCCGACAAAAACATACGGTTACCAGGTTTAAAAAGTGGAACGTAACGAAAAGGTCTATATCATCGTACCTTAATAATTAAAAAACTATTAGTCTTAGAAACAAAAATGTGGTGTGAATATTTCCCTTATAATAGTCAGCTCGCTGTTATGACATTGAGTCGAGTGGGGCGATGGGAAAGGGATACTGCGTTAACTGTGCGAAACCGGCGCTCTCGCTTGTCGCAAACATAGACGTTTCATGTTAATTAATACCAACGGCCGTGTGCCCCGGTACAGCCCCACCCAATATTTTTTATTGTCTTTATACTTGGGTCAGGTGAGAGAGAGTGTCAGACTCTTATTGTTTAAAGCTGCGTTGTCACTAGGAGTATGTTGCGGAGACATAGCGCACAACATTCACGTGGTATACCTCAGATCTCTGCAACTTTGTGGGACAATATCAAAGTCAAGGACAATGTCAAAATCAAAGCATTTATTTCAATTAAACTGTCAAACACCAAGCGGTCACCGGTGGCCGCGACCTATTGTTATTTAATTGTGTCTATAAAACCGGTACTCGACGAGTTAAACCATAATTTAGTACTTTTTAAATGTCAACAAAAACCAAATAAATAATAGTCTGTCCCCCAAGGCGGGAAAAGTCATTTGATGATTTTCGCCCCTCAAATCAAGACAGATCACCTGATGGTAAGCAATCGGCGCCGCCAATGGAAACCTGGAACACCAGAGGCGTTAGAGTGTTACCGTCCTTTTGGGGATTAGGAATTTTAGGAATGATGTGGATTCAGGGATTGAGGAGATTGGTAAAGGGCCTCCGATAACCTCACTCACACGACGGAACACATCGCAAGCGTTATTTCACGTTGGTTTTCTACTCGCCTGTGGTACCACTCCGGTCGAGCTGGCCCTTTCGTGCCATGGTATGACTCTCTTACATGTTGCATATTTATGTTTTTTTTCTGATTTTAGATGCTCAGAAAGATGCTGTAGTATTTGTAGCTGGCAAAAACGGTGAAATCGACACAGACAAGAAACAAGATACAAACGCAAACTATAATTCTAATCAGGTTTGTTAAAATGTTTATCTATAGATCGTTTTTTTATGGGATAAGCCGGTTAACGAGCAGACGTATCACCTGATGGTAAGCAATTGGCGTCGCCCATGGACACCTGGAACACCAGAGGCGTTACAAATGCGTTACCGGCCTTCTGGATTAGGAATTTGAGGATTGTTGGGGATTCAGGGATTGGGGAAAGGGGGTAATTGGGCCTCCAGTAACCTCACTCACACAACGAAACACAACACAATGTTGTTTCACGTTGGTCTTCTGTGAGGCCGTGGTATCACTCCGGTCAAGCCGACCCATTCATACCGAAGCATGGCTCTCCCACACTTAATCTGGAATCTATATAAGTCAGAAGTAAGTCTTGGTAATACAATAGTTTTAGAAATAAATAAAATGTTTAATCTTTCGTGTGTCTAAGGCCTCTGCCTCGAATTTTGACTGAAGTATTGTGTTCAAGCTTCCTTGTGCGTACTGCTAAGGAGTGGAATTGTTTGCCAGAGTCTGTATTTCCTGAAGGGTACAACCTGGGTGTCTTCAAGGCCCGTGTGAATAGGTTGTTTATGGGACGACGTGCTCCATCGTAGACCGCATCATCGCTTACTACCAGGCGAGATAGTGGTCAAACGTCGGCCCATCGAATAAGAACGCCGGGAATACCACTTCGAGAATTACATGACGTGATGTTTTGATAATGTACTATGAGTTCGTATGCGCTTTCGAAGTTTGCTTTTTGCAATGGTTCACCAGTTATTGTTTGTTTTAAACATTTTATTTCTTTGTAAAATTATTGTATTAACAAGACAGAACTTTTTACCTTAAGATAGAAACGAAATAGATTTTACAGTGTATTGTATGGTCATCAAGATTAAGAGTGTGTACCAAATATCAGATCGATCTGTCGTCAGGAAGGGGGTGAAATTGAGTAGTTTCTAGGGTATCAAATTTAAAATCTAATTAGTCCGTCAGTTAGATAATGAATAAATATTAGACACGTATTTTGTTATTATCGTATTATTATTTTGTTATATTGTCTGTTCTGATCTCTTTTCTTGTAAGTTTATTATTAGTATTTTGTTTATATATATGTATTTTTATTTTTTTTATATTCTTTGTTTTCTGTGCGTGTAATTGCCAAATAAATGATTTTTCTTTCTTTCTTTCTTTCTTTCTATTTTTTTATTTTCTCGTATTAAGTTGCAATACTTAGATAAAATGGCGCTAACTTTAGGAGTGAGCGGTCGTTACGTCATAACGTGCTACAAAACGTGGAACGCTCTGACGTTACACGATATTTTAGATTAATATATCGTCGAAAGTATTTAATTTTGTGAGAAAAGAAAAAATACGTGGCTATTGTTTTAAATTAATGTACAAGACGGACATTAAAATTAAATTTAGGTAACTACTGGCTATGTGCAGAGCGAGTAGTGGCGGATAGATAACGACCGCAGCGCACAACACGGCAGAAATTGGAAACAAATGCGGATGATGCAAACCCGGTTTTTATTATTATATTAAACTGTCAAACACCAAGCGGTCACCGGTGACCGCAACCTATTGTTCTTTAATTGTGTCTATAAATACGGTGCTCGACGAGTTAATTTTACAGTAAAACTATTGAATAAATTGCACTTAAATAATGTCAACAATACTATTTTAATCTTTGGTTTTATTTATATTTGCAAAGAAAATTATAATGTTTACATTGTTATTATTTGACAGCTTCCGCAAATGTTGTAAACGCTACGCGTCGCCACCGTCGCGCACATAGCCAGTAGACAAACAAACGAGACAAGCTAAATAAAACATGATGTATCTCATTTTTCAGGTTGACGATTATGAAGACCCAAATACTAAAGTCCCACCAATACCTAGGTTGAATTGCAGTAATCTAGATTGCAATAACATAATACATTCCATATGCGGAGGTAAAATAGTAAACAGAGAATGGAAATATCGTCTATTTCTAAACGATTGTTATTTTAGGAAAGTGAACTGTGGGTACAAGTATAAAGTCAATAGTGAGTAGTTTTTTTTAATTTAGTTCCACTATTTTATTTTAAAAAATCCTATAAATTATATTTCTAAATACTACCTACAAAATAAAAAAAAAAAATTGTATCGCACGGTCGTGAGAGGGTTAAAGCAGTGGATACAATATACGTGCGCGGCCGTACACTCCTGACTCTGACACTCCTGAGCAGTCACTCGATGACTTACTCCCCTTAAAAAAAAATACCGGGGCCGCTACCACCCACGTTCACGTCACGTGCCACGAAGACGCACCCGAGGCGCCCAGGTGGCGCCGTTCCAAAAACCGACTACATGTTCGGTGGAGGCCGCATTGGAGCTCCCGCACACCCCGCATCGAGCACCGAGTGACTCTTGACTACCATGATGGAGTCCATCGTCAGAGCGCAGACGAATACCTAACCCACGCATCTACAACCCAAGCTAGTTATAATATTTAAAAATATAAAAAATAGGAGCCGACCGAGTAGCGGGAGCATGGCCCAAGCTACGGGTGGTTAGGGCTCCAGAGACAGAAACCTCCTCACGATACGTGCCGTTTCTAGGAGAACTGCCTTCTGTATCAGGCCCTTGATCATATAATCATATGTATGTTGACGATGATTATTATATTGCAGGATACATACGACTTCCTCTAGACAAATGCAAGACAACAGGAACACACCAAGTGGAACGACCTTTTTCTTTCACACCTAAAATCTACAATTTTGATAAGGTTGAAACGAAACCTGAATCGCTTATTCGTAAAGGATACGCTTCAAGACGGTATGAATTATATTTTTTTCATGGTATACCTATAGGCTGCAATGGACTGAGGTCTTAGTACGAGTACGCGTTCGGCGCTGTGATTGGTTGATTCATTGGCGCGCGCCAATCAGTGCGCCGAACGCGTTCTCGTTTCGAATACTTTAAACGTAAAAGAAACTCGTACTAATGCCTCAGATGGTAAGCAATTGGCGCCGTTCATGGACACTGGACACACCAGAGGCATTACAAGTGCGTTACCGGCCTTTTGGGAATTGGGAATTTGAGGAATGTTGAGGAGGAGTGGGCAATTGAGCTTCCGGTAACCTCACTCACATGTCTAAACACAATCCAAGTTTTTTTATGATATAAGCCGGTAAACGAGCAGACGGATCACCTGATGGTAAGCATTAGGCGTCGCCCATGGATACCTGGAACACCAAAGGCGTTACACGTGCGTTACCTGCCTTTTCGGGAATAGGAATTTGAGGATTGTTGGGTATTCGGGAATTGAGAAGGATGAGGAAGCGGTAACCTCACTTACACAACAAAACTCAACGCAAACGTCGTTTCATGTCGATGTTCTGCTCGGCCGTGGTATTACTCCGATCGAGCCGACCCATTTGTGCTGAAGCATGACTCTCCTTAACCCGTTGACATCCCCTAAATTTGTTCATACAAAAGTAGTCTCTAAACATTGGAATTAAGGTCTATAATGTAGTTAGTGGAGAGTGGTCACCGGTGACCGCTTGGGGATATACGGGTATCGATATAGGAAAGAACGTGGACTCACTAATCGATGAGAAAACGTATGTGTGTGGTGAATGTTCTCATAACTGTTAGAGGTATAACAAATGATATGAATAATTAATGCTGATTATTGATTTAGGAATGTTTAATCTAATAAACTTGGGTCAGTATTGAGGTTGTTATCGTTCGAAAACATTGTTCGTTACATGTGATCGATAATTGTCGTGAGAAAGTAAAAAAAACAATAATTTTCTCCTTTAAAAATATACCTTCATTCATTTTTTTTTTCTTTATCTTGTAGATCAATGACAATGACTGCTAAGGGGGAGTTCTGTTCACATCCGTGCCCGGCTGCATGCCCGGACAATTATGACCCTGAATGCGCCATATCGGCTACAGGACAGAAACGGGTCTTCATGAATCATTGTAAATTGGACGAAAATTCTTGTTTTTATAGTGTCGGTAAGTAAAGTATTTAAAAATCTACAAGTACTGCTGACCGAAGCTCTCGTCGCACCCGGAGAAAGTTTGAGCATTTATCACTACGCTTGCTCAATGCGGGTTGGCGATTTCAAACGTATAATTAGAAATTGTAAGCCCAGGTTTCCTTACTATGTTTTCCTTCATCGTTTGTCAGTGGTGTCTAAATAATCTTAGAAACTACATATAACTCGGAAAAAGTCACATTGGTAGTTGCCGTTGGTAGGTTTCGAGCCCACACTCTCATGTATAAGAAGCGGGCGTCTTAAACCTCCGGGCCACCACGACATACAGAGAGTAAATGAACCGCTCCCTAAACGCCGACAAAAAATAAAGGTGGTATTTAATACATTAACAGTAAATTCCCTTTTTTCAATCAAAATATTCGAAATTACTCAAGTCAAAAGTCCAAAATCATTTATTTCAATTAGATCAGGAAGGCACTTTTGAACGTCAGCAATAGAAATTTAAAAGTGAAGCTATTTGCTCATTCCAAGGTGTAGATTCCTATGGAGAAGAACGAGCAAGAAACTCCATAGGTTACTCTTTTCCAATCAGTTTCACAATACAATTCTTCAGTTACACAGTTTTATTGGTTTGATTGTGCGAGAACAATGTAACACCAAATCTAGCCAAAGAGATCGAAAAAGAAAATAACCCTTAAAGACAATAAATAATACAGTCTGGAGCTGACCAGTCACAGTTGACGGCGCCCGTTCACGAACATGACATGTACACCAGCACCGCCCAACTCAACCATATTGCAGGGAATCTAGCGACCCAATGCACGTGCCACCGCCAATTGGATCTTTGAGTGAACATGACAACTCCAAGCTGACATAAATGCATTCTACTAGTCCAATTTAATATTTAGTTAATTACAGGGCTCTCACATTAACAATGATTATGCAAGTTAAACAATATACATTTAAGCAACTACGTTGTAATATTTAGGTTTAATTTCATTGACATATCAATGTTTTTCGTTATCCCATGGAGCTGGACCAGCGTGCATCCAAGCATTTTTATCTTCTACATAATCATTAATTTTGTAATATGCTTGTCTACATAAAGTTTTTTTTATACATAATTTAAACTTCATTTCATTTAGGTGCTGTATATCGCTTGGTATCTTGTTATAACATTTACTATACATTACTGAATTGCACACTAAATTTGCTCATCAAATAAATCAATTATACTATACTGTTAGATCTTTAAAGCTTAACTGTTTTACTGAATGACTATCTTTTAACTAAAAGTAAATCTAATAATTCTACGAGAGCAACAAATCTTAACTTAATCTAACCCATAATCTTAAAGTCGTGAAAAAGAAACAAAACCTAACCTAACCTAACCTAATGTTCAACAATTTATGTGCAAATCAGTATTTTTGTTTTACTGTACATTTTTTTGATATATTCTACCAGACGGACATTAAAATAAAAATTAGGCATCTACCCTGTTCCCGGGATCGGCAAAGTATTACTGAATTTAAAAAAAAAAATCTCAGTAGTAGCACGGAGTCTGGAACTGTGCCCGGTATATGGGAATAGGTTCACCCCCTATTACATGGGACTGATAACATAAATAGTGAAAAGTGGGTGTTACTTCTGTGTGCACCTCTGCCTGGCTTCGGGGATAAAAGGCGTGATGTTATGCTATGTTATGTTACTTTAAACATCATTTAAACAATATTAAATATAAAAAAACATAACATAACATCACGCCTTTTATCCCCGAAGGGGTAGGCAGAGGTGCACATTATGCCACTGTACAATGTAACACCCACTTTTCACTATTTATAGTTATGTTACTTTATTAAGATAAATTGTTTCAGTGTGGCACAGAAGTCCTCTGTCTGTTTGCGTGGGGGGCGACAAGGCTAATATACATCAGAGCAGAAGCTTTATCAGTTGGATGCAAAGAGTCGGGATACTGGATGCCAAGGGGCATCTAGTGTTAGAATAATTACGGAGCCGCGGAGGACATCATCGAATGACTGCTCCCGCTTGGGTGAGGCGGGAGGGAGTGTCAGACTCTTACTGACTAAAAACCACCCCGTTCCTTCTCCTGCACGTCGAGCCGGAGCCCCGGTAACTCGTTAGGTTCTCCGCGACTCCGAATCGGGACTTCACGGGTTGCCGGGGCTCCAACTCGACCAGAAGTAGGAACGGGGTGGTTTTTAGTCAGTAAGAGTCTGACATTCTCTTGCCTTACCCAAGACGGGAGAAGTCATTGGATGATTTCCCTCCCTGAAAAGATAAAAGTGTCTATATACATTTATATTCTTATTTCATAATTTTTTATCAACACAATCAAGCCACCTTTTCTTTGCTTATCATCTACGTATGTTTTTATTTATAAATAAAAGTAAAATATTTTTTTACACAGCTATTATTAATATTCATAACATAATTCTTTTTTAAATCATGTTAGCTTAAGAAATTTATGTTTTAGGATTTTATTTTATTTTATTTTTTTATAGCATAAGCCAGTAAACGAGCAGACGGATCATCTGATGCTAAGCAATCGGCGTCGCCCATTGACACCTGGAGCACCAGAGGCGTTACAAGTACGTTACCGGCATTTTGAGGATTAGGAGTTTGAGGATCGTTGGGGATTCATGGATTGGGGAGATTGGGGAAGGGGAGGGTAATTGGGCCTCCGGTAACCTCACTCATTACGACGAAACACAACGCAAGCGTTGCTTCACGTCGGTTTTCTATGAGGCCGTGGTTATCACTTCGAGCCGGCCCATTCGTGCCGAAGTATGGCTCTCACTCACTTATAGGGTTTTCTTTCAAAATTAACAACATAAGAATTAGCCTAATCGACTTTACACGTGACCAGAGGGCTGGCTATTTCTTCGGACAGAAAATAAGCATTGCCATTCAACGTAGCAATGCTGCCAGTCTTCTGGGAACGTTCCCCTGTGATAGTGATGCGGACGAATACTTTGACGCCTAAATTAAGGGTATAATTTTTGTTGTTTCCGTTTTTTCTTTCATTTTATTTAATAGTTTAGTTGTAGTTAATTTTAAGTTGTAAATATTTATGTAGTTATATATATGTATATTTAATAATAGGCATTTATTAATTATTTTGTGTTAATTGAGAATAAGCCCAATAAAATTAACTTAAGGTTGAAATTTCTTGGCTGCATTTTTGTATATATAAAAATGAAACCCGTTTCCCGTTGTCATGACATAACTTGAGAATGGCTGGACCGATTTGACTGTATTTTTTTTTGTTGTGTTTGTTATTGTCAGGAGAAGGTTCTTATGACAGAAAAAAATCCTGAAAATCCTAGTTGATAATAATTACACAGAGCGCCATCAAACATTTGTATAAAATTTTAAAACAGCGCCATCTAGCTGATTTTGCTTGAACTAGGTAGAAACTAATTTCATAACTTTCATGTTTATGAACTGATAGTATTGTGTGCAAACTTTAATATGTAAAAAGTGTTAAAACACGTAACAAACTACTAGTAGGTACAATGGGGGATTGCCTGATCGGCTTACAATTTTATTGCTTGAACCCAACCATACCGAATAAATGTCTCAAAGAATAGAAAAACTATAATGTCGTAGCTTAGTGACGCAACCCGCGTACTCCCCTAGGCCCGGCGCCTACTATTGGCATCGGCACGTCTAAGGATTTTAGGTGGCAAATAGCAATATACATTAACATAATGGCAATTGGCAATGCAGTAGAAATTGCCGTGCATATGTTTGTAATAACAAAAATATCGCTTCGGTATGCTTGAGGTTGCTGTATCGGCAGCCTTGAGAATCCTTCGGGATGTTTCGGGATGCTTTGGCATCCTCCGGTCGCCAGCCGCCGGCTTGATTGATTAGATTTCTCTTCTTCTTCAGCAAGAGCTGCTGTGAGCAGTAGATCCCAGTCTACCATATTAAATACAACTCAGACAACTAGCTTGTAACTACTCTGAGATTGTTATGACGAGAAATACGATTTTATTTATTTATTTATTATAAAATTCTTCCTACACTCTCATTACAGGATTTTCCCAATTCGACAGTGAGGCTTAATCTAGTTAAGAAAAAAAAACATATTTATACCTATGACTAAAAAGAAGTAATACAACGAAAACAAAAAAAAAATATTAAACACAAAAATAATAATGTAGGCCTTACAATATATACACATTACATCTTAACCTATTAAATTACCTACCTTAAATAACTAAAACTAACCTAAAATTACATAAAAATAATACCTATACAATAGTAGGAACTATTCACTATCGTAACTTAAAATAAATAATAATACTTTTGTGAATTCACTCGAAGGAGTTGTAAATATATCAATACGATCGTGGAGCTTATTAATGGTATGGATTGCGCGAGTCAGTGGTGCTTTAGCGAGAAGGTTCGTCCTCGCCGCTGGCACTGCCAATATTGGCGGACGTCGCCGTCTCCACACGTAGCGGTCCGGTACAGTGTGGCGACGCATGCCACATGTCAACGGATGACGTCACAAAGAATCCTACATCGCACATGCAAAGTTTACAAGCGAATAAACACGGATAGAAAATCCCAACGAGCAACTGTTGGGCAGAAAGCCCGCCAGGCACGATCACCTCGCCTGGTCGGAGGATCCTCCTTTTCAGATCTTAGGGAACTATACTCTCTGTTCCCTACAACAGCAAGACTCAGGTGACGATATTGAGACGCTTCGGCATGCGGACGGTGCGCCATGCTTAAGGACGCCTCGTCATCCCTAAGAACGTTCCAGCATGCTAAAGTATAGTTTCCGACAGTGTGTGCTTGCATGTAAGAAGCCGAAGGATCCTTTTCCTTGCCGATACCGATAGTGAGTACCGGGCCTTAGACAGTGGTGAGTTTGATGTTGTTTGAGTACATTCGCTGGCGCTAGCCTCGTCCACCACTCCGCTTCATTCATCAATTCAAGGTCATGGGGCAGAGCTAGAGACCAGTGCCTTTAGCCAAACGCCACTTTAGCGCTTGTCTACAGAGAGAGTAGAAATCAAAATGGATGACACTGACAAGTGTCAAAATTTACGTCAATTCCATATAATTTGGTTTTCTATTCTACATGTAGACAAGCGCTAAATGGCGTTTGGCTACAGCTGAAGATCTTATCAGGTGTAAGCTAACATTAAGTTAGTGGTGGTCAGGCGGATATGCCCCCCATTGTACATTTTCTGGCAAAATGTCAATAGACTTGACTAGGCGAAAAATGAAAATAAAACTAAATAAGATATAATTGCACTCTATGGAACAATAAACTTTAGCCGTTCACTTTAATGTGTTAATCCATACTCGACTGAACGGTTGGTGCGGTGGCTGGACCGGCTTTCGTGCAACGTGTCGCGGGTTCGATTCCCGCACGGAACAACACTTTGTGTGATCCACAAATTGTTGATTCGGGTCTGAGTGTCATTGTGTATGTGAACTTGTATGTTTGTAAACGTACACTCGACACAGGAAAAAATCCTAATGTGGGGTAATGTTTAAAAAAAATAATATAAAAAAATCTCTTATCTAAGAGTTATACCTTCATACCTTCAAGAAAAGAGCGTACTCCTTTTTGAAAGGCCGGCAACACACCTGTGACGCCTCTGGTGTTCCAGGTCTCCATGGGCGGCGCTGATCGCTTACCATCAGGTGATCCGTCTGCTCGTTTGCCTCCTATTCCACAAAAAATTCCACCTAAGTTAGTGAAAACCAATAAATAGTTAAGTGTTACCTATTTTGGCTTCGGAATCACTAAAAATTTGTGTCTAACAGTAAACGAACCCACAAAATATCTAGCATAAGCTATTTATGTCTAGATCTTCTAAGCACTTAAAGTCTGGCTAGACTGGAGAGAATTATCTATTAATTTTTGGCAACCAACGGCTAAAGCCTCTAATGGGTGTCTAAAAGCTTTTTGAGGTTTCATACTGAGAATTATAAATTGAATTTGTAGCTAGATTGAAGTGTCAACGACACACGTACATACATACCTACTTAGGTATCGTCATGAGCTAATGTTCACATGTAATCAGCTCATGTAGTGTATTGTCCAGTCAACTGATGGTAGCGAGGTTGATTTGTCAACGACACTCGTACTTAGGTATCGTCATGAGCTAATGTTCACATGTAATCAGCTCATGTAGTGTATTGTCCAGTCAACTGATGGTAGCGAGGTTAACTTGTCAACGACACACGTACTTAGGTATCGTCATGAGCTAATGTTCACATGTAATCAGCTCATGTAGTGTATTGTCCAGTCAACTGATGGCAGCGAGGTTGACTTGTCAACGACACACGTACTTAGGTATCGTCATTAGCTAATGTTCACATGTAATCAGCTTATGTAGTGTATTGTCCAGTCAACTGATGGTAGCGAGGTTGACTTGTCAACGACACACGTACTTAAGTATCGTCATGAGCTAATGTTTACATATGTAATCAGCTCATGTAGTATATTGTCCAGTCAACTGATGGTAGCGAGGTTGACTTGTCAACGACACACGTACTTAGGTATCGTCATGAGCTAATGTTCACATGTAATCAGCTCATGTAGTGTATTGTCCAGTCAACTGATGGTAGCGAGGTTGACTTGTCAACGACACACGTACTTAGGTATCGTCATGAGCTAATGTTCACATGTAATCAGCTCATGTAGTGTATTGTGCAGTCAACTGATGGTAGCGAGATTGACTTGTCAACGACACACGTACTTAGGTATCGTCACGAGCTAATGTTCACATGTAATCAGCTCATGTAGTGTATTGTTCAGTGAACTGATGGTAGCGAGGTTGACTTGTCAACGACACACGTACTTAGGTATCGTCATGAGCTAATGTTCACATGTAATCAGCTCATGTACTGTATTGTCCAATCAACTGATGGTAGCGACCCTGACTTACGATTTCGTGTAAAATTCAACATCTGTTTGAGTTATCCTTATTTAAAATGAATGAATATGCTAAT